ACTTTCAGGACTTAGTCATCGACATTGTAAAATACCTAATGGATTATTATACACTTGCCATATTAAGACGTCGAGTCAGTCCTTTGAAGTTCCTCTTCGTTGTTTAGTCTGCTGGGATTATGTTATTTCATCAACGACAGAACAATTACTGTTTTAACAAGATCCTAGGCTGCCACACCAGAAGTAAAAACTTTTACAGAAGTGTAAACAGCAGAGGTGACAAGAGGTTGACAAAAAGAAGCTGTTTTCCATAGTAGGAGAAGGGCATTCCTCGCCGAGCTAGCGCATCACACGGGGAGAAAGAAATGCAGTCCTCAGACACTGCTTGCTTCTAAGGAAATGTTTCCCATTTTTACATACAGCATTAGTAGAAACAAGCAAATGTTATAACTGTAAAAACGTAGAGGATCTGATAGCAACTAATGATGTTAACATGAGACCTTTACTATGTTTTCTACCTGGGTCCCTCAAACCGACTCTGCCTTATCCGGCGTCCTCTGGGGATAGTTCACCATTGTACAGATGCTTAACACTTTCACATATCATTGGGTGAAATATAATTCTCAGATGGGGAAAGGAGAGAAAACGTATCCCACCAAAGGGTAAGGATGTACGTTTTAGTTGCAGATCATTTACTCACTAGCCTCGAAACCAAGGACACTGTTTAATTTCTTATCACCTCAGCTTCCTTCTTCAGAAAAAGGGGATGCTAGGACCTGTTCTGTATGTTTTATAGAGTTGTTTATATTAAGTGTGACAACATATGTTTGAGAGACCTACATTCGTGTTTTCTTTTAGATGTGTGTGTGTGTGTGTGTGTGTGTGTGTGTGTGTGTGTTTAGTTGAAAATGCAGTGCATGCTCATGGTAAACAAGAAGGAAAAGGAGGAAGGAAAAAACAAAGCAAAATAAACAATATGAAAAGAGATAGAGTGAGAACCACGCAGCTCTGTGTTATCGTAAAGTTTTACCGTAATAATCGTTACTGTTGTTAGCGCAAGTGCGGGCAAAACCCAGATGTCCACAGGCGAATCACTTATTCTGACAGTTTCTTAATCTATAAAAGAAGAGATCAAACAAGTTTATTTTTACCATAAATGGTATATTTACACATTATTCTCCAGAGGAAGTCACCAAAAAGCTTTTTAAAACTAAACTATAGTTCTACAATTTATTAAAACAAATGTGAAAAATAAAAGTGTCAAACAGGACACTCACAAAAGAAATGTTTGGTATTTTCCAAAGTTTATTAAAATGAACATTGTGTGAAATATATATATAATTCAATTCCAAAAATGTCCATGAATTTGATGAAGAGACAAAAGCAAACTTATAAGCAAAGGAGAATTCTGATCCTATATTTGCCTTAGCTAATAAGGAAATAGCTAGAATAATGATCGAATTAGTGAAATTTTAAAAAGTGAAAGAAAAGTGAAAAAAATGGCTATTGAAACCATTTCTATTGGGTAAATAAGGGTTGCAATAATAATATTAATTGTTGATCCTGTGTTGATTCCACAAACATTTTTTGAGCGCCAGTTATACTTCAGACAGTGATCTGGATGGTGGGGCAACAAAGACTAAGAAATCAAAATTCACTGGTCCTCTAGTGAAGGAGAAAAATAGATGGGCATATAAATCAGTGTCCTCTGGGGTCAAAGGTATGAACAAGGGATCTACAAAAAATAGAAACCCGAAAGACTCCTCGCTATCTGAAAAAAGTGCTCAGCCTCTCTAGTAATCAAAGAAATACGAATTACAACAAAAAGCTACACTTTACCTCTCTGGAAGTGGCAAATATTAGGAAGTCGCATAACCACGATTGTTTGAAGGTTATTGAGAAATGGGGCTGACCTGGTCGGAGTGGGGCGCCGCTGCAGCCGTCCAGGAGAATATGGCAATAGTCAGAATCCATACACCCACACTTTGATCCAGTGGCCTCACTCCCGGACGTTCACAATAGGGAAATTCATGCTCACGGCCATGACACAATGTGAAAATTTCAATGTCGGCACCACTTCGAGCAGTTTGAGACAGACTGCATACTAGAGAAATATCTAAGAAAAAAATGTCATGGGAGCAATACATTTGAGATAGCTAGAGCAACATAAAAACATAGTATTGAGTGAAAATGAAAAGAAACATCAAAAGCTAGAACACAGGATTGTTTAGTAAATTAAGATCATGGGGGAGAAAAACATATTTTCCAGAGATGAATATCTAGCCAAAGAAATAGCCTAAGCGATTCATGCAAGTTCTAATGGAGAGAAGGGGTAATGAGACATGAGAATTAAAAAGGAAGGCAGGAAAATATTGATAACATAAAAATAAGAGGAAGACCTTGCAGAAACTAATGAGGATGTTAGTTATAGTGTAAGGAGTATGATTAACTCGGCTTAACACTTGACATTCAGATAACTCTAACCTAAACAAACAAGGGAGTAAGAGCAACAGAACAGAATAAAATGACACCAAGATGTGCAGTGGACACAGAAGGTGCAAACCAGCTAGGCCAGGAGCTATCGGAAGGATTTCATAGAGTTGATGCCTGAAGGCTGGGTAAGAGGCACAGGTGAGATGCGAAGGTGTGGGATGAAGGAGGTCGGGGAGATGATTTTAAGGTAGGAGGGAGGAAGGGAAAATGGCATGAATTCGTAAAACACAATGTCGTGTTTGGAGAACTGCATTAATTCCCTTTGATGGGACCTATTTAGAGAAGTGTCTAAGATACTTCTGGAAAGATGCAAGGGGGCAAGATTCCAAATTTTATCAAGGGCTTAATTATGCCAAGGATAGAGGTAGGTAGGGCCTGACATAAGAAAATGGAAGTGAAAAAGGTATAAATTCAAACGATCTTTCAGAGGTCATAGGAAGAGGGTGAGGCCAAGAGACGGTTTAGAATTTTAATTTGAGCGCTTTGATAATGGTAATATGATTCACAGAGATGGGCCAAACAGGAAAATTCTGGAAGGGAATATGGCAAGTTCCATTTCATCTAAACTACTCTCTCAATTAAACTTTTCAAAAGTTTCTCTATGACTTAAGACTAGTTCAGACTCTTCCATTGGGACTTTATGATGAGAACTCTATATGTGTCTCCAACCTTATGTGTTATGATTTAATAAAACCAAACTCCTCACAATACCCAGCGAGGAATTTAAGATTAAGGAAAGAGTACCCTGCTCCTCAACTCAGTACACAGGAGACACTGGGAATGTTTATGGGATGGATGAGGACTGAACCAACAGTTCAGTATATGAGGGTCGGACAGTTCAGAATGGATCAAATTTTAAAAGAGATAAGAGAGGCTTTACAAGTGTTTTGTAACATGGCTTACAGGTTGTGAATCGGGAGGTCTGGGGATATTACATAGCTTGCTGTCATGTGCTTTATAAATATGGTTTCCCGATTTTTACTTTTGTTTTTGTTCTGCAGAAATTTCAAATAATTGTGTAGTACTTAACACACATTTTTTTTGTTCTGGCTTCTGTTTGGGGTCTTTTTTCATTAAGGCCAACCTCTCTCCCAAAAAACTGTTAAGTTGTTTTTTAAAAATGCTTGAAGATAACTTGCTCTCCAAGCAGAATAAACCCTTTGTTTAAAAGCCGTGCTGTGAAGGTGCTTAGCAAACTATTTTACTACATGGATTTCAAGGAAAAACCACTGTAGTTCACATCCTTATTTTCTAACTAGTAGGATCTGAATTAATAGAGATGTCCGACTTTTGAAATACTGTTAATTTCTTAAGACTTTCTGATACACACATGACCCGCATTGATTTTGTCAACTTTGGCTAGTTTTTCTTTCAGAAGCTGTGTCTCCAGAACTGTGTCAATGCTCATTTGATGGACTCTTAACTTTCTTTCCTATGCCTCCAACATACTTCTTCCCTCATGAACAATTACTCAATTGTAACCAGACTTTGGTAGTATTATCTGGAAAATGGCGATTATGTCTTTACTTAAACACAACAGAGTTTGGCGGCAGAAAGTCCACTCGGGTTTAATAATTGCTTCTTAACCAACCCATTGCTGCTGCCAGCGAATATGCCTCTCCCAGGCCGGAATCTTGTCTTAATCGTCACTGAATACTCAGCATATATATCACAGTACCTAATACAGAGAAGTGACTCCATCAGTATGTGAAGACAAAGTGAACGAAAGAATGAACAAACTAAGGTTCCTAGTCTCATCTCTGTCATTGACTTGATATGTGTATAAATCATTTAACCTTGCTGGGCCCCAGTTCCTCCTTCTGCTAAACAAATATAAACCCTAGCCTGAACACCTATAGGAAGAATAGGAAGATAGTCGACTTAGTGGTGATTTGAAAAATAAGACATTCAGGAAATTGACACAATCATATCAATATACATTAATACATAACTTCATATAAAGATGTGGAATATTAGAAATGCTAATTATGTGATACTGGCTATAAATGTAAAACAGAGGTCAGAGAATCATATTCTTTGTGTAAAGTGTATTGGCTAATAAAGTACTATTATATTATCTTTATTATCATTAGCAGTATTATTATGAAAAAGAGCTGTCAGGTGGATAGGTGTTATTAACTATAAAAGTCATAACTCAATATTATAAGTTTTATGCTTTCTTTCATAATTTTGTTCCCACATCGGTTTATTAATTGTTTTGCTCATACTAGAAACTTCTTGGAAGTTTTATGTATAATTTTGATTTATTTAGGTCACTTTATAAACATTATACTCAGTTTAATTGATTGATGATAGTAGATCATTAGATAGCTGGACAGACAGATGATTCTACCTAGATATGGTCACATTCACACTGTTTTCAGACTTTCAATACATTGCCAGCCCGAAAGGATCTTGTGAATCCTTCTTTTAATTGGGGTATGTAGGCCCGATAAAAATGTAGAAGAAGGAAGGTTTGGAGGAAAGCAATGTGGTTCAAAAGGAAGGAATCTAATATATTTTAAAGCACTGTTTATATTTGTTAATTTTATTCTATTTCCCTGCAGGTTTAAATGTTCATTTGGCTACTTGACTCCCGATTAGAGAACACAAAATGAATAACTCAACCAACTCTTCTAACAGTGGCCTGGCTTTGACCAGCCCTTATAAGACATTCGAAGTGGTGTTTATTGTCCTTGTGGCTGGATCGCTCAGTTTGGTGACCATTATTGGGAACATCCTGGTCATGGTCTCCATTAAAGTCAACCGCCACCTCCAGACCGTCAACAATTACTTTTTGTTCAGCTTGGCCTGTGCTGACCTCATCATTGGCGTTTTCTCCATGAACTTGTACACCCTCTACACTGTGATTGGCTACTGGCCTTTGGGCCCTGTGGTGTGTGACCTTTGGTTAGCCCTGGACTATGTGGTCAGCAACGCCTCAGTGATGAATCTGCTCATTATCAGCTTTGACAGGTACTTCTGTGTCACAAAACCGCTCACCTACCCTGTCAAGCGGACCACGAAAATGGCAGGGATGATGATTGCAGCCGCCTGGGTCCTCTCCTTCATCCTCTGGGCTCCAGCCATCCTCTTTTGGCAGTTCATCGTAGGGGTGAGGACTGTGGAGGATGGGGAATGCTACATTCAGTTTTTCTCCAACGCGGCTGTCACCTTCGGTACTGCCATCGCGGCCTTCTATTTGCCAGTGATCATCATGACCGTGTTATACTGGCACATATCCCGGGCCAGCAAGAGCAGGATAAAGAAGGACAAGAAGGAGCCCGCGGCCAACCAAGACCCGGTTTCTCCAAGTCTGGTTCAGGGAAGGATCGTGAAGCCAAACAATGACAACACGCCTGGCAGTGACGATGGCCTGGAGCACAACAGAATCCAGAACGGCAAAGCCCCCAGAGACGCTGTGACTGAAAACTGTGTCCAGGGGGAGGAGAAAGAAAGCTCCAACGATTCCACCTCAGTCAGTGCCGTCGCCTCTAATTTGAGAGATGATGAAATAACCCAGGATGAAAACACGATTTCCACTTCCTTGGGCCATTCCAAAGATGAGAACTCTAAGCAGACATGCATCAAAATTGTCACCAAGACCCAAAAGGGCGATTCATGTACCCCGACTAATACCACTGTGGAGCTAGTTGGTTCTTCAGGTCAGAATGGAGATGAAAAACAGAACATTGTAGCTCGCAAGATTGTGAAGATGACGAAGCAGCCCGCAAAAAAGAAGCCTCCTCCATCTCGGGAAAAGAAAGTGACCAGGACGATCCTGGCTATTCTGTTGGCCTTCATCATCACGTGGGCCCCATACAATGTCATGGTGCTGATCAATACCTTCTGTGCGCCCTGCATCCCCAACACGGTGTGGACCATTGGGTACTGGCTCTGTTACATCAACAGCACCATCAACCCTGCCTGCTACGCACTTTGCAACGCCACGTTCAAGAAAACCTTTAAACACCTTCTCATGTGTCATTATAAGAACATAGGCGCTACGAGGTAAAACGTCTTAGGGAAGAAGGAAGGCCGTCGAGAGGAGCTTGGGAAGAAGAAAGGGGTCAAGAGCTAGTTTTAAAATCTCTGCCGTCGCACTTCACAGTCTTATTACGGACGCGCAGTTACGGAGCCCAGCAGTGACACTCTCATCCCGCCTATGCCCCAGTGTGAGAAACTTGCACCTTATAAACCCCGTCGGTGCAGGGGCGATGAGGCCGTGAAAGAGACGTGTTGGAACTGTGGATTGAAAGGATGAGCTACATTTTCTCATCGTCTCTTGAAGAAGGGCTTCTGAATCTACAACAGTCCGTCTCTGCACAAAAAGAAAAATAACCTCGCTCCGTTTTTCCCCACCCTGTTTTGTTTTGCTCCCGTGTGTTTATATAAGGATGAAAGGTCACAGTTACAAGCTAACGTGGAGACTTAAAGAGATAGACAATGGGGAAGTGAGGAAAGGCAATCAAAAGGATGTAGAAATGGTCTCCAGCGTGTTAAGCGTATATTATTATTTGGTTATGGTTTTATTTGGAGGATTGCAATGTAATAAATGCTTTTTTTTTTTTTTACCTCCCCTTTTCCCGCCATCAAAAGCAAGCAAGCAAACAACCCAACCGGATCACATCATTATTTTTCTCGTTATGGCATTGGTTTTTGTACTTCCCTGTTCTACATTGTATAAGGGCAAATTCTGCAGGACTATCCCGAAAATCCAACCAGGGACAGCAAAGAATATGGGCGTTTCACCCCTGCCCACCTGTTCTTTGCATTCTTCGAGAGTATGAAGGCCTGGAAGGATGTAGTCCACTTATGGTTCTTTATGTGAAATGTTTTCACCAGTCTGGTTTTCTCCTAAACTAGCATCTTATTTTAATAGCTTTCATAATATGTAAACATGCTTGAGAAGCCAAAGTGATTTTTTTTTTTTTTTAGTCGAGGTGTCATCAAGCGAAATAATAGTCATTCTAGTTAGAAATAAGAAAATAGGTGGAAAGGGCAATTTGTTTCAACCTGAATCTTCCTGACCCATGTATAAAATGCTAACTTAGAAAACATGAATTCATGGCCTTTGTCAGCAAGAAGAGGATGCTATTTACTTTTTTTTCTTTCGGAATTCCAAATAGGATTAAGGTACTCACATGGCACCAGTGACTTCTGGGTCACTTCCCCAGAGATTAAGACCATCTCTTCAATGCCTTCTAAGGCCGATATTCAATTTATAGTCAAGCGAGGTTGTTTATAACCATCCTGTGACCCAGTTGAGGAAAAAAAAAAAAAGTAATTGAAAACATTTACTGAAACCACATGTTCCACATCCCCCAAATTGTCAATTCTCCCTAAAATTTTTTAACTTCAAAATTCTATCAAGAGAAGTATAGTAACCTTTGTGACAGAAAAGTAATGGATGACTAAACAGAAGCCAGGTGAGCTCAATCGAATCTGAAAGAAAATTGTAGGTGGCTGAACTTATGGCTTTATGAAGAGTCTTGTCCATGTAGAGACTTTTTATTTGGTAGCCCAAATAAATATATGATTATGTTGTTCACATTTAACTAGTTATTGTTATTCATCATTTGTTTTCTTACTATATTTACTATAGTCTTCAAATCAGATTTTCTAAAGATGGCCCAATCAATAGAAATCAGACTTCTAAAAGCCTTTCGAATTTCATATTTTACCTTTTAGATTTATGGTCTTTATATCTTGGCCAGTAATATCTGTGTGAGTTGCATGATGAATTTGTCAGTATTAGACCTTAGCACTTTAATTAGATTTATCGCGTGTGACTTGCCTCACTGATGGCATCTCAACAATTTTGAGAGTTAAAAAAAGCACAATGTAAACAACAACAAAAAAGAACAGTAAGGAGCAAATTGCCAACAACATTTGTACTTGAGTTACCCTTGATACAGATAACTTCTTGTCTGAATAATTTCATTTTCCCCCAAAATCTTCTATGTATAAATATATTGCATCAATTCACACAGATTTCTTTACAGTTACATCAGTGTAAACTTTTACATTTTAAATCTATATTTATTTTTATTTGATTTCTTCAAATCAATGAATAAATTGAGTAGAAGAAACCAATAGAGTGTTTGGTTCCCTGTAAACAAAACAATGGATTGGCTGAATATTCCCCTTATTAACTTGTTGTACTATTATGATGTAAATTCAGCTTTAGTCGGGATGAACTCTGGGATTCAAGGACTCTGGTTCTCTTTTTGTCTGGCCTGACAATCCAACTCAGCTTGAATCAAGTTGGCTGTTCCTCTCCATTGCCATTGCGTCCTTCTCTTTCTTCCTTTTATTTTTGATTTGTGCCATGGCCACGGTGACCTTATTGGAAGAGAAAGCATCAAGTATTAAAGAAAGGAACTGCAGATAGACTGACACATCATGGAAGCTTTGTCAACTGGAATCAAAAAAATGGCAAGAATACTGAAAATCATAGCTGACTAGAAACACGGAGACTGGACTCACAGGTCCGCATTAACTGCTGCTGGATTTGTTTGTGTCAGCGGCTCTCAACCAGGGATGATTTTGCCCCCCAGGGGACACTTAACAATGTGTGGAGACGTTTTTTGGTTGTCATGGCTGCGGGAAGGGCTGTTGGCACCTAGTGGATAGAGGCCAGGGATGACCTCTAAACAGATTACAATGCACAGGACAGCCTTCCCCTCCCCCCAACAAAAAATTAGTGGCTCAAAATGTCAGTAGTGCCAAAGTTGAGAAACCCTGGTCTGTTTTAAGGGATTCTAGAGCTTGCTTTGTATAAGTGGGGAAATAATCCTGTATCACTATTAGAACATCAATGAAAATTGCTCACCTGTTTGAAAAAGGTAATGCTCACCAATCGTGTATCAGACACGCTGTCATCCGTCCAGTCTGGTGTATTGTCATTCGCAGATCGGGAACACAGGCCACAGCTACATATCCAAAATCATCATATCGGGCACATGGCATGTTGTTTCCAACATCTTAATGTCAGATTATGATTGCCAGAGACCAGTCAATTGAGGGTTCAGTAGTTGGCCGTTAAAATGGTTGCGGTTGATGTGGTCAGTTGTCTATGAGCTGACATTTTTCCTTTCAAAAACACTAAGAACCTCTTTCAGAAACAATATGATTCATCTCCTTTGTTTTCCCTAGAAAGGTGAATATCTGTCAAGAATTTCTTCTCTCCTCAAAGCAATAATGTAAATATCACAGAGCGGTCTTACAAGAAGAGGAGATTAAGAATGTGAAAAAGCCAGGTCATTTCTTCAAAAAAGAAATGCTTGCCCTTGCGCCAGTCCATCATTAACTTAATGGCATATCTCAAGTGTTAGGACAAAGTCACCAATATGGTAAGTCCCATGGGATGAGCTTTCCTGTTAGGATGTGGACGCTGGAGGTCTCACATACTCCTGCTCTTTGTCCATTCACCGCTTTTTCAGTCCTGAAGATCTGACACTGAAGGAGATGGGAGTTCAAACCGATGACAATATACACTTAGAAATGCAATCTACTTTTTTTTCCTCCTACTTAGTTCATCGATAGTGGCCTTTCCCCCAGTTTGATAATGTCCCTTTCAACAACCACAGCACCAGTGTTGCAAATAGATTAGGGAAGCACCCAAAGCTGGATGAATTGTGCAAAGCATACTATCAGCATGTATATACAATACCATGCCTCTTCGATATGCTTCTCTTAAAAGGGTGCACGCTGCAGCATGAACTGTGTGCATATTTAATGTATCTTCCTGAAATATGCTGTATGCCTAATATATACATATTCTATAAATAAAGTAATGAAATGTATAATAGAAATTCATATTTCTGTATGCAAATAAATATATTATACACAAAATCTTAATATGAGATATAGTATATGTTGCTTCGGAGTAACAAGAATAGATTTTATTGCCCAATTGTCAAAGTTTTATTTGCGTTTGAAGGAAGAGATTTAAGAATGGCCCAAATCCTACCCATATTACCATTAATCTGTTTTATTATGTTTGAAAGCATGGCACTGATTTTAAATATGTCATTAAGACATATATTAATACATCTTTGCTGGTGTCACCCCATGTGACAACAATACTTTTTGCTCCTGCCCTTCTGATAGGCCTGTGACTAGCATCTTCCTGGCTGTCGCTGTTCCAGCAGCTGTGTTGATCCCACGTCTGATTGCCTGATGCAACTGCAACCAGTTCATTGACACACAGCTTCGTTCTCCTCCAAATTAACTGATTTTTGCCAAATAAAAAATAATCACACTGGGAGGACAGAATAACCTTCAAAATGTTTTTCATTCTGAAAAACTAGGTAAAAATTGTGCAAGCGTATTTATAAACCGC